GTGATGACACTGAAGAGCCTTCACATCCAGGCCGACCTGGAGCCTTAAGTGCAGAGACTGAGAGCTCTGCAAGACACAGCATGGAGCCGCCATTCCTCTACTGTTCCATGACTGGGTGGAAGAGCATGTGTCCTCTGAACAGGGGATCCAAGCCCTGAGATGTTCTTTCTCAGCAGTCAGTGTGGCCCAGGACATTGTGTGGGCATGCTCAGAGAGCAGGGGCCAGAGGGCTTTTAGCCACCACCTCCCATGGCCAGTCTTCACAAATTACCTTTGGCTAATTTGATTGTCTCTCCTCCTGGGGTCTGGGACTTCAAACATGTACAGAAGCGATTGCAGAATTGAGACAAGACACTGTTCCACAGTATGCTTTTTGTATCAGTGGCTCAGAAAAAGACTCATTGAAATCCTGTATCAAAGTCGTGTGTGAGAATCTTGAGAAAGCATCGGCTCACTGACTTGACAAGGGAGGAAGCAACCAAGAATTCTGCCCTTCTTCAGTGCCTGAGTGTGATATTTTGCCTCAACAGCCCTCTTAGATGAAGTTACTGATTGAAAATCATTTATGTTTGCCCCATGATAAAAGCTCAAGTCCTCAGAAAGGTGTCCAAAATGGTTGTTTTTTGTTTTGTTTTGGTAAGTTTACTATGATTTTGCTTGAATTGCTCTCTGTTGATCTTCTCAGCTAAGATTGAGGTAGAGTTGCACAGCGGAAGAGGGCTGCATGTAAGAAGGCAGCTCTGTCTCACAGGACAGAAGGCCTGGGAACACCCAGACAGGCAGTCACTGCGTTGAGGTCACTCCCCTCCCAGTGGCCACTGTGGAGGCATTTTATAGAAATGCTCGCTGGACCATTCAGGTTTAGAGTTGGGACAAAATCGAGAACTCAGAGGATATTGGACAGGAGTTAGGAAATGACTTTTTCACACAACTGGAGCGAGGAGGAGGGAACCCTGGGCTTGAGACTTGCAATCCACCGCCTTCCCCTGTGGTGTGGCCCGTTACATTTTCTTGCAACTCTGCCTTCTTAAGTCCAAATGTCTTTGAAAGGGGCAAATGCTTCGTAAGTGCCAACAGGGTGTGTTTCAGTGAATGTTCACAGTGTGCACCAGTCCGGCTGACGGCCTCTTCCCTTCCCCAACACCCTCCCATCAGTGCAAAATTACCCTGCCCAGCAGGGAGTGACGTGTGTGTCTCAGATTTTGTTGCTGTGCTCTGAGTACTCCTCATCTCCTTTGACCAGTTTCCTAAAACTCCCCTTGTTCACAGCACAGAACATGAGTGCTCTTTCCTGTCATTTTGACGCTGATAAGCAGCAATTCTCAGTGTGAAAATGAGAATGAAGTTTTTTTTAAAGACAGGCTACAATAATTCCCACACAGAACCACATGCAATGACACTTGTGGTGAAGATGAGGCCAACAGTGAGCTGAGAGAGGCTAGCCAGGATTCACACGTGCGAGGGGATGCATGGGAATGGGGATGGGACATTGGTGGACAGCATCCTCGCTTGTCTCAGAATGGACATGGGTAGTGAATTTCTAACTCCTGGAGAAACCGGAGTTCTAGGAATTGTAAGCTGCTTTATGTTAGGAAAGAAAAAGACGGTGCTCTGCCCTCCTGTCCCTTAAAACTGCGTACTGCCACTAAACCTGGAAGCTGAGAAGGATATAATGGCTACTCCTGACTTCCTCTCATCAAATCAGCCTGCTGTTGTTTTCTGCAATGGCTGTGGTGCAGAATCTTTTTGCGGTGCAGCCAAGATTCACACTTGAGTCTCCTTACTGCAAGTTCTCACTCTCACAGTGGAGAGTTAACAATAATTGCCTAGGCCGGGCGCGGTGGCTCACGCCTGTAATCCCAGCACTTTGGGAAGCCGAGGCAGGCGGATCATGGGGTCAGGAGATCGAGACTCATCCTGGCTAACACGGTGAAACCCCGTCTCTACTAAAAATACAAAAAATTAGCCGGGCATGGTGGTGGCCGCCTGTAGTCCCAGCTACTTGGGAGTCTGAGGCAGGAGAATGGTGTGAACCCAGGAGGTGGAGCTTGCAGTGAGCCGAGATTGCGCCACTGCACTCCAGCCTGGGCGACAGAGTGAGACTCTATCTCAAAAAATAAAATAAAAAATAAAATAAAAACAATAATTGCCTAATATGTTATACTTTTTTGGGAAGAGTTACCAGATAAAGTGCAAGATCCCAGTGAAATGTGAATGACACAGATAAAGAACAGATTTTTTTTTGTAAAAGTAGACTCTAAATATCATACGGATCATACTTACAGTAAAAACGAATTCGCTGTTTATCTTCAATTCAAATTCCACTTGGTATTCTTTATTCATACTTGCTAAATCTGGCCACTATGTTCTTTCATGTATTTTTAATTTTAAAAAACAGCAACATCTCGTTCTAGCAATTTACCTACAGAAATAAAGGCAGGTACCACATTACTGGGACAAACATGGTCACTGCAAGTATCAGAAGAATACTGGAACATATATATTAATTTTTACCCAAAAAACCAAAATATTTTTAGACAGCAAAAATAGCTTTATTATGCTTTTGATTGCATAATATATCTCTGGAAAGATGAAAAAGAATCAGATAACACCTGTTTGGTCCAGGAAAGAAAATGTGGTGGCCAGAGAAAAGAGGTGGGAGGAAGACTGGTCACTGCCTATTCCACTGTGCACAGTTTGAATCTGGAACCATGCAAAAGTATTGCTTAGTTGAGTTAAAATCATGTAAAAGATAAAAAATAAACATTTAACACCAGCACAATACACTGGGAAACAAAATGAAAGGATTTCTGGTCTCGGTGCTGTAGGTCGCATAGCCACTCTTTCCTGGACTGAGGCTTCCCAGGAAAGGGGATGGGAAGTAAGGCCTGCCCACTGCTGTGGACAGAGATTCCAGCAACATACATGACCCGGGGGCACAAGGACTGCCTTGTAAACAATGATGAGCGCACAGCCACCTAATAGCCTGGATCGGCTGAGACCATCCTGATTTCAAACACCCAGTCCCCTTGCCTTCCTAAGAACCCCTGTGTTTCTCAGACTGAAAATGTGTTCTGAATTTTGTTCGGGAAGCACAGTCCCTGTTGAAATTCATCAAGAGTGGGAAAGAGCCAAAGTGGGAAGGAGCATGGGTTGAATGGCACAAAAGTAGGTCTGTTGATAAAGAATGAAGTAAAGGGGACATCAGGTACAAGCTTTCACTGTGAGTCAGAAGGACAATTTAAAAGTTGCCTAAAGGGGCCCACACCGTCTGTGTTGCTGCCATCCAGTTGGAAGGGAAACTCAGGTTCTTGCCTACTGGCCAGAGCTCTTCACAGAATGTCCCCCACCCTTGCCAAGTCCAGCTGCCCACCGCCCCTCCCCCTCTGCAGAATGTCTGGGGTCCTATGTTCCAAAGCTATTTACATTCAAATTTTCCCTGCTCCACTTGGACTCAGGAGCATCTGCTGAGCCAGGTCACTCTCTGGGTCCTGCCCTTGACTTTTCTCATTGTGGAAACTGCCAGACAGCGGTGGTCAGTGCCTAGCCTGAGGGGATGGCTTCAAATGGAGGTGAGCCTGTAGGGATGGGGGCATTATCCGAGTCTGCCATGCCTCAACTCCTTGGGAATTCAAATTTGAACTGCCCCTGGGGACAGCTGATAGGGCTGATGTTGAAGAGGGAGGGAGCACTGGATGTCCCCAAGGACCCTGAGTCTGTGGTTAGGGAGGACGGCTCCTTAGAGGTGGACCAAGATGCCTGCGGGAATACACTGTGTAGGGGAAAGGATGGAGTGGATGGATTGATCCTTTCTGGAGGGGGACAGGTCATGTCATTGTGTGTTTGTAGGGAGTAGTGGGATCATGTTGTACTGGTGGCCACGGGAGGATGACAGGCAAGCCTGAGCCCTGTGTTGTGTCTTCAGGCACCTGGAAGGTGCCCTTCCATAGTGTTCAGAGGGATTTGGACTGGAGTTTTCTAGATCTGAGGGAGGAGTGGGGAGAAGTGATCTCAGCCAGAAAACTGTTGGGTGGGTTGGCTGTGACAGAGTATGCAGTGACAGCCTCTGGGTGGGGGAGGCTGGGGGCTACTATAACTGCCACAGCCCAGAGCCTCTCAGCTCCTGCCCCAGAGCTGGCTGCTCCGTCAGTTGAGGTAGCTGTTGGCTCTGATGCAACAGGGGTGGGGGCAGATGGGGAAGTTCAGGTAACACATGGCCTGGGCTTCCTGAGTTGTTCTGCATTGTTTGCCTTTTTGTAGAAGCTCAGGTCTTCAGACCCACTTCCTCTTGTCTGCTAGTTCATGGCCTGTCGCCTGCACTTTGTGTCACTGTGGAGATGAAGAATTTGCCCCATTCCACGTATACTACCTCATGAACAGGGGACAGGTGTGGATTCTTGCTGGTTCTCAGTGGAAGGGTTTGGAAAGGCTGGTTTCCTTTTCAGTAGAGAAAGGAGAGTAGCGCACAAATAGGAAGATGGTTCTCTTATATTATTATTCAAGTTAGGATGTGTGTCCTGAATGATGAGGTGCATGTGCTGTATCCCTTATTCCCCCTGACTAGAGACTGCATGGGGTCCTAGTGGGCAGGGATGAGTTCCAGACAACTTTGCCTCACCTGGCCCGTGGGCCAGGAACCCCTGGTTCTTGGTTGGTCACTATGTTCAGTTATTGGGAGCTCAAAGGAGAAGGATCAGAGATGCTCCTTGTCCCACTACCTGTTGTAACATGACCAGCAGCTGTGAAAATCCCTGGGCACCTCCCCTGATAGCCCTGCTGCTCACCATTTGCTGGCTGAGTTCTAATCGTGTGCAGCTGTTGCTGGCTGTGCAGTGACAGTATCTCAGGGGACTCCACCACTGCCTCTCAGACATGCTCCCTGGGAACAGAGCTTCCTGAGTGGCAGCTGGGACCACTGAGCACTGAGGAACGGGTGGCTGGAATCTGACCCCCATTTAGCACTTGTGTGGGTGGTGCCAGGAGAATCATTTGCATGCTGGGCATGATGTGTTATGGTTTATCTTCGGGGTTCCTAGGGCACTGGCTTGGGTGAGATTTCCATCCAGTGGTTTTCTTTTTTCTTTTTTTTTTTTTTGAGACGGAGTCTCGCTCTGTCACCCAGACTGGAATGAAGTAGCGCGATCTTGGCTCACTGCAGCCTCTGCCTCCTGGGTTCAAGCAATTCTCCTGCTTCAGTCTCCTGAGTAGCTGGGATTACAGGCATGCGCCATCAGCTAATTTTTGTATTTTAGTAGAGACAGGGTTTCACCATGTTGGCCAGGCTGGTCTTGAACTCCTGACCTCAGGTGATCCGCCCACCTCGGCTTCCCATAGTGCTGGGATTGCAGGCATGAATCAGCATGCCCAGCCTATCCAGTGGTTTTCTTTTGTAGTGTTGAGCTAGGAAAGGAGTTTACAGGAGCTTCAGGAAAAGGAAGACTGAAGAGGAGATAGGGCCATAATATTCAGAAGCTTCTGGCTTCCTGTCGGCCTTCTCAGTGCCGAGCACTGCCCTGGGGTAGGCCTGTCTCCTGTTGCTGAGCACGCTGAGGACCACCAAGCCGCTGAGAGACTCATCCCTGCCCCATGGCTTGGGAGATGCCTGTGAGGCTGATGGGGTCTGCCAGGGACACTGAGGGAGACCCTGGGGCAGCGAAGGCTTGGCTGTTCCTTCTTGGGAGACAGGGGTCAGGGAGTCTTGGTGACCGGGGCCCGGCTCTCTAGTGGAGCGACCCTTTCGTGGAGGAACAGAGCATCCCATGCACACTCAGGGACACTTGCAAGCGGCAGAGTTTCCCTGTCACACGCCCTCAGCTGTTGGGGCTCCCCTCTGATTCCCCAGTGACTAGTGAGGACCAGGAGACCCCAGCTCATTCATCTCTTTCCTTTGTCTCCACAGCATACCCAGTGGTGGGACCGGGCGTGACCGTGAACCCTGGCGCCTCCCTGTCTGTGTTCACAGCTCTGCCCTTCGCCACACCCGCTCCCGGCCCAGCACATGGGCCACCCCTCGTGACTGCAGTGGTTCCTCCCGGCGGCCCTCTGGTGCTGTCTGCCTTCCCCAGCACACCTCTGGTGGCAGGACAGGATGGCCGCGGCCCAAGTGGGGCCGGGGCTTCCAACGTCTTTGTCCAGATGAAGACAGAAGTGGGGCCTGTGAAGCCCCCTCAGGCACAGACCTTGGTCCTAACTCAGGACCCCCTCGTCTGGCAGGTTCCAGGCGCCCTCTGCGGAGGTGTCGTGTGTCCACCTCCCCTACTCCTGGCAGCTGCTCCTGGGGTGCCCATTACATCTGCCCAGGTGGTTGGGAGCGCCCAGGCCTGTGAGGGAGGCTGGTCCCAGGGCCTTCCTATTCCACCACCACCACCGGCTGCCCAGATGCCCCCCATCGTGTCCCACGCTGGGCCATGGCCAGAAGGGGCTCATGGAGAGGGCAGCCTGCCTCCCTCCCAGGCCAAGGCCCCACCAGATGACTCCTGTAACCTCAAGAGTGTCTATGAGAACTTCCGACTCTGGCAGCGCTACAAGCCCCTGGCCCGAAGGCACCTTCCTCAGAGTCCTGACACCGAAGCGCTTTCCTGCTTCCTCATGTGAGTGTCCTCGGGGCACCAGAGCTCGTCCTGCAGCTCACACATACAGAGGCTGCCGAATGGACAGGAGGTCACGCTGTTCAGGGGAGCTTGCAGGGTGGTTGTGAGGGTGATCAGTTGTGCTATGGGAAGGTACATTTTCAGCAACATTAATCTGGCTGTGGCTCAGGACAGACTGTCAGGGGCCTCATGTCAACTGCCCGTCACTATCCCGTGAGTCCAGCCAATCCTTACTTTTTTTTTGAGCCAGACTTTCGCTCTTGTAGCCCAGGCTGGAGTGCAATGGCATGACCTCGGCTAACCACAACCTCCGCCTCCCGGGTTCAAGCAATTCTGCTGCCTCAGCTTCCTGAATAGTTGGGATTACAGGCATGTGCCACCACGGCCGGCTAATTTTTGCGTATTTTTACTAGAAACGGGGTTTCACCGTGTTAGCCAGGATGCTTTCAATCTCCTGACCTGGTGATCCACCCGCCTCGGCCTCCCAAAGTGCTGGGATTACAGGCGTGAGCCACTGTGCCCGGCTTTTACTTTCAATAATTTTCACAGCAATGTTTACGGAAGACCCAGGTCAGAGAGGGTTCTTGGTGCGACGTGCGCCACGGTTTGAGTTTAGGTCTTTTTTGTTTGTTTGAGATGGAGTCTCGCACTGTCACCTGGGCTGGAGTGCGATGGTGCAATCTTGGCTCACCACAACCTCCACCTCCTGGGTTCAAGTGATTCTCCTCCTTCAGCTCCCCAAGTACCTGGGATTACAAGTGCCTTCCACCATGCCCAGCTAATTTTTTGTATTTTTTAGTAGAGACAGGGTTTCACTATGTTGGCCAGGCTGGTGTTGAGCTCCTGACCTCATGATCCACCCGCCTCAGCCTCTCAAAGTGCTGGGATTGCAAGTGTGAGCCACCACACCCGGCCTGGGTTTAGGTCTTTGAGTGTACACCCCAGTGCCTTCCCTCGAATTGAGTGTCGATGGCCAGGGGCACATCACATGGGGCTGGGGGGAGGAGTTGCAGGGCCCGGCGGGAACCTGGCATACGCCCGCAGTTCTGCCAGTGAGGTCCAGTGAGCACCGCGGTGGTGGAGTCTGCACAGGGGGATGGTCTTGGGCCCCACACTGGGGTCGATGCTGGGCAGGTATTTGCATCTTCACCCTCAATCCTCCCTAGAAAAAAGGACAATGATGCTTCATTCAGAGAATGGCGAACAGATGACTTGAGCTCACATATGACATGCATAGCATAGTGCCTGGCACATGCTATAACACATTACATGACAGCAATTATGATTACTGTCCCCTTTACTATCATTATCAGGACGAGGCCATCTAGGAGAGTGCTCCCCAAAGCCACAGGCTCCAGTGATAGCTCTGAATACACCACGAGCCCAGTAGCCCAGGGCCGTGGACTATGGTGACTGTGAGGCAGCAACGTCAGCATCTGGGAGAGTTTGTGGTTTCATTCCCAGTCCTTGCCTCTCTCCACCCTGTGGCGCCTCTGTGACCCTGTGTTTCCCACTGATGAGCAAACGGGAGCTTGCAGCACATCCACCGTGCAACACACTGGCCGCTCCCCTTGGGAAGTCCCCTGCCTGGGGTGTAGGTAGAACACAGCCCCATCTTCCTCCCCAACAATCTCGCTGGCCCCGCACCCTGGAACTGCTCGCATTCCCCTTTGGAGCAGAGTCCCAGTGCACTGGGGACCCTGATTCTTGGAGTGGAGCTGCCCCAGGCTCACAGGCCTTTGCCATGGCTCCTGTGGGAATGTGGGAAGCTGTACCTGGCTGCTTGCAGTGGGCTTGACACCGCTCTGCTTTGGTTCTGGACATGTGCTCCTGCTTCTCATGCTCCAGGACCCTGAGGCTACACCCCCAGGGGCTGCCTTACTCCAGAGTCCCCAGGAAGCTGGTGAAATGCTCAGTCCTGGGGCCCTAGAACCTGCACTTTAACCCTCGCTCCCAGGTCATTCTGTGTGCACGCTGTCTCAGTCAGCTCAGGCTCATGCTGTCTTAGTCAGCTCAGGCTCGGCCGCAACGAATCCCATAGACTGGGTGCTTTATCAAGACACATTCATGTCTCCCAGTTCCAGAGGCCACAAGTCCCAGATCAAGGTGACAGCAGATTGGGTGTCTGGTCAGAGCCCTTTTCCTGGCTGGAGAAAGCTGCCTCTGGCTGTGTCCTCTGGTGGCTGAGAGGAAAAGCCCTGGCGTCTCCTCCTGCCCTTATCGGGGCTCAGATTCCATGACTGGGACCCACGCTCATGACCTGCTCTAACCATGATTGCCTCCAAATACCGACACGCCGGCGCTCAGGGCTTCAGCACAGGAATGTTGGGGACACATATGTTCCACCCATAGTACTGAGTTCACTTCTCAACATCAGAACACCGAGGACTTGAGGGGCAGTCGGAGAGGCCACTCCGTAGCTTGTGTTGATGTTCGATCTTGGGGGTGTGTCCTGGGGCCTGAGGAGCCCACGCAGGGGAGAACAAGACGTGGACAGATGGCAGGACAGGTGTGGGGAGGACAGGGGCCAGGTGTTGGGACCAGGTGGGCTCGGGATGAAGGGTGGGCTTATAGACTGGGGCTGACTGCACTGGTTTACAGCCCAGTTCTCCGATCCCTGGCCCGGCGGAAGCCCACCATGACGCTGGAGGAGGGACTGTGGCGGGCCGTGCGCGAATGGCAGCACACGAGCAACTTTGACCGGATGATCTTCTACGAGATGGCGGAAAAGTGAGTCTGGGGTCCTGGGGGCAGGGCCCGCAGGGCAGAGTGAGACTGAATGACGGAGGCCTGGTGGCCGCGGTGGCTTCTCAGTGTGGAGCATGAGGAGGGTGTGGACAAACACAGGACGCCCTGGGCCCCTGGTTCCTTCAGGAAGCTGCTCCTGCCACCTAGAGTGCTCTGGGGTCTCTGTCCTGCCCTCTTGGGAAGCATCCCCTGCCTGGCCTGGGGCCAACCCCTGCCTTGACACTGGAGGTCATGGTGGGAGCAGCCAGCGTCACAGCCCAGAGGGGGTCACCTCCAGCTGTGGGGATGGGGAGAAGGGGCGCTAGTGACTATAGACAGAGTGGGGTGCAGGCTCCTCACAGCAGTGGCCAGAAGTCGTTTTTCTGCCATCCCAGCCTGGCCAGGGAGTTGGGTCAGAGGAGACCTGCGCCCGGGACACCAGAGACCCATCTCTGGCCTGACCGCCTTTGCTCCTGGGCAGTGCCCTCCGTGAAGACAGACAGACAGACAGCAGCCTCAGGGGAAAGGGGCCCTGTCCTCCGGGCTCAGCTTTTGCTTCCTCCCGACCAGGGGTCTCCCGGGCCTCGTGCCCCTGGGTTATCTTTCAGGGACCCGCAGTCCCAGCCTCAGGACTCCTGCATCTGGGCATCATCCCTGACGCCTTCTGCCATCAACCCCACCCCTGGGCAGCTGAAACCTGGAGGAGGGGTCCCCTGGGACCCTCCTGGGCCTCGTGGCCCTGACTTGAGTCAGGAAGCCCCTTTGATGCCATGGGCTCTGCAGGGGCCGGGTGAGGGAGGGTGAGCCCAGAACTCTGGGAGCAGCTCCCTCCTGGGACTCGGGGATGAGACCCAGTGAGGGCCTGGACAGCCCACCCAAGGCAGTCCCTCCCATCCCTGCCCTCGGCCGCTGCCTGGTCCTGGGGACAGGGGGCCTGGACCCTCTCCGCACAGCCTGGGCCTCCTTCACCCCCAGGTTCCTGGAGTTCGAGGCTGAGGAGGAGATGCAGATGCAGAAAGCGCAGTGGATGAAGGAGACCCAGAGCCTGCCTCCTCCAGCCCCGCCGAGGCTTGAACCTCAAGGATCCCCGGCCCCTGAGGTGGCCAAGCAGCCAGGTACAGCTTCCCACATTCCCATAGGAGCCATGTCAAAGGCTAAAGGGGCCAAGGGAGGCCACTGTCCCCACACCCCATGCTTCCCTTCAAGAGGGGGGTTTGCTCCCCAACAGGACAGCTTCTGGGAGTGTATGTTGGGTACTGACCTGGTCAATACCTACTTCGTGGGCGGCCTGTGATCACGAAGCAGGGTATTGACTTGGTCAGGTTTCCTACTTACTCTCTCCCCTCGCCCGTCCAAAACTCCACATATGCTCTACCCAGGAAGCAGGGATGAGCGGGGAGAGTACATGGCATATTGGTGGCTCCAAACTTCCTCCCAAGCGATGCTGTCTCAGATGTGCCCCTCCTGCGCGTCTCCTCTGGGGGCGCTGTGGTTCAGGTGGTCCTGACC